GTAGATGCGTTGCGGGCAATGGAACGCGCCTGTCTAGATCGGGGAGACGTAAGACTCGGGTACGGGGGACTCGGGTTGGCCCGACGGGGCCATCATGAAAATGACGAGGCCCAATCTAAAATTTGACGCGAAATCCCGCCGCAGACATCCCACGAAAACCAGACCGTCACAATCCAGGACGCGCTCGTCAAAAGACGTCGGTCAACACGAGTCCCAGCTTACTCGAGTCTTATGGGACCGCAAGGACATACTAGTACTATATGTTCTCCTCGGAGGCGCGCGTCCGACCCGAACACATAGCATACACATCATGTAGTATATCGTTTCCCGAGCGGTGCGGCCAGAAAGCGCCCGCCACGACGCATAGACTGTAAGACTTCCCGGTGCGCGCGTCGCCCCTGGGGGGGGGGCGACGCCCACATCGTAGAGATTTGTCGGGTTGACGCCGATCTTACGTTCCCCCGACTATGGGAGGGGGTGTCGGCCCCGGGTGGCTCCCAGACCCGCGTCAGCCTCGGGGGAGCAGTTGAAGGGGCCCCAGGGCACACGAATGAGTACACACAAAGAAACAGATTCCCCCTATTTTCCCATATTTCCTGGGTTTCTGTCTTCCCCCCCACTTCCCATATTTCCCCTATTTTCGGGGGAATCGAGGACTAATTGTGTCTGTGTGTCTTTTCCTCTCCTGAGCAGTGGCTGCCCCCCGCTCGCGCCGACCCCCTGCTGGCCCTCGGGCCATACAGCTCGAACCTCCGGCTGCCGCTCGGGGATCGACTCGGGCATGCCCGGAGCGTTCTCGACGAGGAGGAAGAGGAAGGAGGAGGAGGGAGGAGGAGAAGGAGGAGGTAGAAGGAGGAGGAGGAGGAGAAGGAGGAGGAGGGGGAGGAGGAGGAGGGGGAGGGGGGAGGAGGAGGAGGAGGAGGAGGAGGAGGAGGAGGAGGAGGAGGAGGAGGAGGAGGAGGAGAGGAGGAGGAATGGGACAGGGAGGAGGAGGAGGAGGAGATGAGGAGGAGGGGGGAGGAGGAGGAGGAGGAGGAGGAGGAGGAGGAGGAGGAGGAGGAGGCGCCACTGATGGAAAGCGCCCCAGGCACCCCCAAACCCCACAATCTCGGGAGGTCCAGTCCAGTCCAGAGGCAAAGTGCAAGGAAGCGGCTGCCTTCAGCACGTTACCCATGCCCTGACGCCGCCACTGCGGGGGAAGCTCAACGCTAACCGCCGAACGCGTTCGGAATCACTCCCATTATGATTACGTGCGCCCCGAAGCGCCGCCGACTCCTCTGGCTCCGGTTCCTGGACAGCAGCACGGGCGACTGCGAGCGTCCTGGGAGGGGCTCTAAGTCTAGACCATGTCGACAAGTCGGCCGAGGAGCTCGGTGTACAGACGCCCCAGCTTCCCAAACTGTGGGTTGCCAGAACGTCTATGCACAAACTTGCTCGCCACCTTCCGTAGATCCCTGACTGGACAATCAGCGTGGTGTATGGTGTGGACGCGGCCGCAAGAAACCCTCGCAAGAATCTCTGCCCTGAAAATCCAAGCGCGAGGTGCAAGGGAGCGGGGCACCCTGAACGCAGCAGCTCCTGAACGCCCAAGAGAAGTCGCTGTGCAGCGCGCGAAATAAATAAGTTCGAGGCACCCTGACGAAAAACACCTGGCTTCTGGATGCGCGAACCCACTTACGTAGATGCTCGATCTGGGAACCTTCCTGGAGCCCCTCGCCACACTCATGCGTCAATGGTGCGTCGAACGCACGTCGCCTTGAGTCGAGCTTGAGTCGAACTAGAGCCGAAGTGGAGCCGAATTGAAGTCGCTTTACGCCCCCTGGACCTGGAAAAATAATAAAAAACATGTTGCTTGTTGTCATTTCAATGTTTCAGCCCCCCCTCCCTCCACCTGGGCTCCCGATCCCAATGTTGAATCAGCCGCGGCCGATGAAAGAGACATCGAATCGCGCGGCGCCCCATGTCAACATTGAGACTGAGGGGCGCGGGGAGACGAACCACACGCGAGAATTGCATAACTTTTCCAGGGTAGTGCAGAATCGAACAGATCTGTTGGGCAGGCCCCCAAAAAGCCTCCAAACGAGCACCGAACCCTACCTTATACCCAGACCCTCGACGTCATGATTTCTTCATGATGTCAACCTCCAGAGGTCTCGACCAGCTCCCAGGGACCGATTTTCGTCCTGGGTCGTTGATGGAAGGTCCCGAGGCCTGGGAAGGGCCCCCGGAGGCTGAAAATGCAAACGTTTTCTTATTCGGGGTCTCGACGTTGGGCGGAAGGTGGGACAGGGGTGGGGGGTTCTGGCTCGGGACCTCTGTCTAACGCGACTGTTTGCAACAGTGCGTCCTATGGGAGAACTCCACCTGCTTGAAGCAGGCGCCAAAAACAGACAAGATCAGCTCCAGGGGGGGGGGGGGCGGAGGGGATGCAAGGTCCCGCGCCGATCGGCAAAACAACGAATAAAAAACGATCACAATAGAGAAGAGCCGTCCGCCCTCCAGGGGGGGTGCGGCGGGGGAGCAAAGTCCCGCGCCGATCGGCAAAACAACAAAGAAAAAACGATTGCAATAGAGAAGAGCCTTCCGCCTTGTTTTTTTATAACTGGGGGGGATCTGGATAACTATTTCGAGCCCTTTCGCTGAGGAGGGACCCACCGTCCCGGTATTCCGACAGGCCTACCATGCAATGTTCTCAGAACCACAACAATGCTCGGATAACAAAAGATAACAAAAGCAATGCTCTTGGGACATACAGCCGAATGTTTAAATCGAGCCGGTCTCAGCCAGAAATGCTCCGAGAACACTCCGTGCAACGCACAAAATCCCGCAGGGATCTCAGAGAACCTCCTCTGGTGGGCACATGCGCAAGCCAGGACGCTTGGCCTCGGAGTTGGCCGGGGGGGATCCGAGCTGGTGGGGGCATGCGAGAATCGGTCAGGAGGGTCGAGGCCCAATGCGCTCAACATCGGTCCCTGGACCCCTCCCTGGCGGGTGCTGCCAGAAGTGCCCCTTGGCCCCCAAGGTGCCCCCAGCTCTTCGCGCTGCAGTCTTGGCCCCCCCTGGGGCCCTCTGGGCCTCGTGGAGGGGTGCTCTGGAGGCCGTCCGGGCCACCCCGAGGATCCTGGGGGCACCTTGGGCCAGGGGCACCCGACCCCCTGGGGTCCGCTTCATTAAAACAAGGCTAGGATCGGGATAAATCGCTCCAGAGCGTTCCGGAGCGCTCTCAGAGCGTTCCGGAACGCTCTGGAGCGGCCGCGGCGCCCAATACATCCTCCAGACCCGCCGATTCTCAGAGATTTCGAGTTATCCCGATCCGATTTTGTCCCGATCTTCGTGTCGTTTTATTCATCCCGGAGCCGCGCTCGACGGTCCATGGGCCCGAACGCCGCCTCTGCAGAGGCCGAGACGTTCGAGCGACTGCCCCCGAAGCCCGGCGCCTCGGGTCTGCCCCCCGGCCTTCCTGCTCGACCCCGAGGCGGCTCCCCAGACCTCCGACGTGTATTGAAGAAATCAAGACGGAGGTTTTTCTTGATTTTTGGCCTCTGGCGGCCCTCGCCGGGCCCTGCAGGACCGTCAAGAAACGACTCAGGATGAGAAGCCCGGTCCTGGGGAACGGGTCGAGACGTCCACGGACCCCGTATTGAAGAAATCACGACGTCGGATCTCTGGGTCCAAACTCGGGTCGGGCATGTGCTCCTGCAGGCGGATTCTGGAAGAGAAAGGAACGATGTAGTCAAAGCATATCAACACATAGCCATCACAACCAATCGGAAAATCGTCCCCAGACTGTTTTACTATTTGTAGATATTTCTCCTGTATATAGAGGGAGATGCCCGACTTAAGTCCAGACCTCGAGCGCTTCTTCATCCCCAGCGTCCCCACCCCGAAGCGGTCTGGACCCCTTCTCGGGGACCAGTTTTACATCCTGCAGTCGTTTCTTGAGGGCCCGGGAAGGGCCCCCGGAGATGCCGAAAACAGCGAAACACCTCCCGTCGTGATTCTAATTTCACGACGCGAGGAGGTCTGGGGCCGGGGATCTTCTGACCCGGGTCAATCCAGACCCGGGTCAGTCCGGCCTTGCAAAATCCTGCAAGATCCTGCGCCCAACCCCGGGTCAACGCGAAGGACCCTTCAAAACCCTGCAGCATCCTGCGCCCGAGCCCGGGTCAAGGCGACACCTGGCCCTGCAGGACCCTGGAAGACCGGGCGCTCTGGCGGACCCCCGTCTGCATGGACCCCCGCCTCTGGAGCCCCGCTGGCCCAGAGATCCGACGTCGTGATTTCTTCAATACGGGGTCCCTGGAAGTCTCGACCCATTCCCCAGGACCGGCTTTTCATCCTGAGTCGTTTTTTGACGGTCCTGCAGGGCCCGGCGAGGGCCGCCAAGGAGGCCAAACATCGAGAAAAACCACCGTTTTGATTTTTTCAATACGTCGGAGGTCTAGGGGGGACCCCTGACTCCGGATCCGCCCTACTTTGGGGAAATTCGTAAGTAGGGCTTGGAATTTCCGCCTTACTTTTCAAGCCCCGCTGGTGCCAATTTCCGCCCTACTTTTCTGCTGCTGTTTCTGCCCTACTTCTGTGGATGTCCGCCCTACTTTCTACTGGGTGCAGAAATTTCCGCCCTACTTTTTCGGCCTCTTAGGGGTGGATTTCCGACGAAATTTAAAGTTGGAGAAAAAACCAAAGTAGGGCGGATCTGGAGTCAGGGACGGCCCTCCCGGCCTCGCCCATTCCCCAGGACCGGCTTTTCATCCTGAGTCGTTTTTTGACGGTCCCGGGGCCCGGCGAGGGCCGCCAGAGGCCAAAAATCGAGAAAAACCGTCGTCTTGATTTCTTCCATACACGTCGGAGGTCTGGGGGGGGGCGCGGCCCTCCCGGCCTCGCCCGGCTCTTTGAGGCTCCCGCGGGGCGTCCCCGGCCCCGCAGCGGCAGCCGCAGCCCCGCGTGCGGCACGGGGCTCTCGCCCGGGGAGCGGCGGCACGTGGAGCCCGAGGGGCTCAGGGAGTACCCGGCGGCCTCCGGGCCCGGGGGCCGCGCCCGGGGCTCCGCCGCCTGCAGCAGCGCGGCCAGGAGGCGGTGCTCCTGGGGCCGCGCACGGAGGAGGAGGAGGAGGAGGAGGAGGAGGAGGAGGAGGAGGAGGAGGAGGAGGAGGAGGAACTGGAACAAACATCTCGTCGGCGGATCGATGTCTGGGAGGGGGGGAGGACTTGCTCAGGGCGGGAAGCAGCTACTGGTACCTGGAATCGGCGATGCGCCGCTGATGGATCGGTGACAG